GGCTTTGATTTTATATAAAAGGGTGTGCCAAAATGTCCCAGATACCAGGGTTTGCGACAGCCGTCACTAGGGGCAGGAAGGATGTAAAATCTAGGCGGCTGCCACAGCACTCCTGCCTTGGGGGTTCAGGCAGCTGTGGATCAGGGGACCCTGAAAGGGCAGTAGGGTGTGGCGGGAAATGTTGCAAACATGATCACAGCCCTAGTCTAAAGGGGACCCTGGCTTTGCTGTTCTAGCTGACCTCACTTAAACACCCAGACTTATAAGTGAAGGTCACTGGGCTTGAGGCCGACGAGCTGTTCTTATTTACAGTGTGCCTCTTATACTCACCCCAGTCCAGTGAGGAAGCCATTACCAAACAGCAGCGCGTCATGCAGATGAGGAGGCAGCAGGCCACCAAGAGCCCAAGTCCTACACCAGCTTTCCAGAACCCTTCCACATAACTGCCCTGTATCTGCTTCCTTTCTCACTGGTCTTGAAAAGGAGACCCCGTCTGATGCGGTGATCTCCTAACTGCACACAGCAGCAGAACCCTAGGTACCAGGCGGCATCTCATACTCTCCTTCCTCCAGCATGGACCAGTGCTTGCTGGTTCTGTGTTTCCAGAGTAGCACACATACCCTTACCCGTGTGTTGTTGAAGGCAGATGTCCAGTGCGGCTGGGGCAGAGCTGGTCAGACACAGGTGAGAGAGGAGCAGGGCGAGAAGCTGGGAGGCTGGAAACTGAGAGAGTCATAGCACAGGCCTGTGGACCAGGGAAGGGCCAAGGATGTTACAGCAGCTGCCATCAGCTTGCTGTTCAAATGCACACGCATGCCAGCCGCTGCTGTAGGCTAGGGCAGTAGACGGAATGCGATCGAAGGCACCAGGCACACCTTACTCCCTTGGGGGAGGCAAATTGTTCCAGATAGTCAGTGAAGCAGCAACGTCATTCAGGGTGAGTGCTGTGAAGGGTCCAAGCTCCGTGAACAGGCTGCCTGTGAGCTGTGCTGAGCAGTTGTTTTCAGTGCTAAGAATGCAAACAATTCCTTTCTATCATGCAGACCTCACCCACCGCCAAATTTTATGCAACGTGAACTGAGAATGTTAATACCTTTAAACGGTACAAAAAGATCAGAGTTTGAGGCCCACAGAAATCGTACAAAGCTGAAATTAGGCATCAGTGTGTAAGTTCTCCTGGGCACAGCCACACTCACTCATGCGCCCACTGCCTCTGCAAGCTTCTGTGCTTTCAAGGCAAGAGAGACCGTGACTTGCAAAGCCAAAATTATTTCCCGTCTGTCCTTTTTATAGATAAGGATGCCAAGCTCTATTCTAGGTCCTTCTAAAATTCTGCAAAGGCCTTTCCCACATCAAGCCCACTGCATTGCCACTGTCCAGAATCCCACTGTCTAGGAAGATGAGAAAACGAGCTTGGAGATTGAGAGCAGAAAGGAATGTGTCTCCTTGTCTCCTTGTCTTCTGCTAGGGTGCATGTGCGGAGGACTCCTCAGCTAACCTCTTGCTACTTCCGGCCTGGTCTGGGGCAGTCTAGGGCAAGTATGGGTCTGGTGTGACCGCTCAGTTATAGATGCCTTTCTCTGGCAGGTGGCCCAGTCCCCAGACCTTAACTCTGCACTTTCCACTCAGAGTGACAGCACCCAACACTGTTTTTTATAGGTGCTACCTACTGACCACGTCATGCACGTACCTGCAGACCTCATGCCTGTGCCTTTGTTGGTCTGTTTGGGGATTTGGTTTATTTGTTTCTGATTCATTTTGTTTTTGAGACAGGGTCTCACGGTGTTGCTTTAGCCCAGCCTCACATCTGAGAACCTCCCGAGAACCTCTGTGATTGTTGGCATGCATCACCGTGTCCAGCCCTTTTACATTTTTTTCTACATCAAATTATATGTAACCTGCTTTCACAAATAGGCAAGAAGAGCGAGATAATCTGTCAGACATTGGGTTCTAGAATGCTTGCAGTGGTTGTCTGTACCTACAGTGACATTTAGGGTGAATCTTCTTTTGACTTTCCTATTTCTTTTCTTGTACTATATAATTTACATACATACATACATACATATGTACATATATGTACTTGTGTATATGCGTATATGAATCATCTTAACCTGCATAGAAAAACCCGGTCATTTTCATTTCAAAAAATAAATAAAGGTGGTGTGTCCACATGTGGCTGCTAAGATTATTTATGTGGTTGTGTTGTAACTGCGGGAAAGATGTGTCGCTGACAACTCACCACTCAATTGCAGCAGGGCTTTAGAATGGCTTTAGCAAACACAAGGAAGACAAACGTGGTAGGAGGTGAGAGATGTGGAAGTTAGGTCATCATTGGGAGCATAAAATATTCCCAATATATAAAACTGGCCCCCCTGCCACTGTTAAGAAGGATGGAGATACGGATCTTTGCTGGTTTCTTTTTCCTCCCTTTGTGCTGCCTGGAGAAACAACCTGGTAAATTGGACTGTTAAAAAAAAACAGTGCCTTGTCGCCCCCTAGTGTCCTTCTTCTGTTCTGTCAGCTCCGGCCATTGCAGCAGTCTTTGTTTAAAGCCCCTGCTCTGAAGGCAAAGGATGGCAGCTTGATGCCCACACTCAGGGCAGAAGGCATTGAGAATGCTCGTCGATCTCCACTTCTTCCTGTTGAAGCCACACAAAGCACATCTATCCAACAGAGGCAAAGGAGCCTCCTGCCAGGGAAGGCTGCCCTCCTTCCACAGCTGTCGCCAAAACTGGCCTTGCCAGGAATGTGGCCAGTGGCTCAAGACAGCCTGAGTTTTGGGAGTCTGGGTCAGGAAAAGAGGGGTGTGTGTGTGTGTGTGTGTGTGTGTGTGTGTGTGTGTGTTGGTGGCTTCTGGAAGGTTCTGAGCGTTGCCAAGCCTGACTGTTCGAGTGTGCTCCCCTCTAACTCACCCCATGCCAGCAGCTGTTCTGCTCCCACCCTCTCTTGAGTACCTCCCACTACCGGACATCTCAATTTTGCATTCTATTTGTCCTAGAACTTGCCAATCTCCTGGTCATAGTCCCTGGTCTAATGTGCATCTCTGGACAGGCCTCCTCCTACACCTCTTGGGACCTTGGCTTCACCAGGGGCATAGGAGGCTTTATCAGAACAACTTTATCTGGCCGTCCTGGGCTCAGACTTTTCCAGTGGTTTCCCATGGTTTCTGGATGAAAGGCCAGGCTTCTCAATGCAGCTGTACCCATCTTTTCACTGGCCCTTCTTCCTGCCTTCATCCCACCTGATGGTCCAGTTCGGACCCTGGAATATTGCTTCCGTACCCCTTCCTCAGCCTTTGCTTCTTCCCCACCCTCCTCCCACCAAGCAGCTTTGGCTCAGCTCTCAGTTGAAAGTGCCTTCCTCAAGGGAGTCAGTCCAGGGAAGAGGCGGCTCCTCAGAGCTGCTTCTGCAGGACAGTGAAGTTCTTCCTCCTGACGTCTGTCCATCCCTTGCATGCCGTATCAGCCTTGCATGGGTGGTTCCTCCCAAAGTCTTCATTTCCCCTTGGAGACTGGAGGAAATGTGCCCTGTGGAGAAATTGTTTGTGTTTAGAGACAAGTGTGGCTGTTACAGAGAGGAGAGGGTGGCACTCTTGACCACACCTGCTGCACTGCCTGCTCTCCAGGCTGATCCGGAGCTCTCAATACTGTGCTAGCCAGCCCTAGACAGACGGACGGCCTCTGTATGTCCTGAAGCTTCTCAGCTGCAGGGGTGGAAAGACAAAGGAGCCAGACCTTCCCTTACTCCCAAGACAGGGGAACCACCCAGGCTATTGCCAGTTCAAAGGAAGCCATCTTTCTGTGGGTGCCTTTGCTCTAATGTTATTTAAAGACCATCTTGCATCTATACTTTAATCTGTTTGCAGTAAAATTTCATCTACAATTCTAGTTAGCTGAATGGACCGCCAGTCAAATGTTCTGTTTTCTTCAAAGAGTCTGTCCTGAGGAAAAGTCAGAGGAGAAAGATTCATTAATAAAGGGTAGCATGAGAAAGGTGGCCGCAAGTAGTCCTTCAGACAAGAGGGATGGATTTGAATATGGACATTGTATGAGATAATCCTGTTGACTCTGCATGTGCTTTCTTAGGTAGAGAATGGCGATGAGGTTGGATGAGAGAATGTTCTTGCTCTTAAAAGTTGCAAGTCAGCAACAGACAGCTTGGTCTTCATGGGGTTCGCTTGGTGAGTGGAGTGGGTGAGGGCTGTTTGTAACATGGATCTGTTGCCTGCCTTTGGATCACTTCCCCCTGGCAGGGCAACCTTGCCTGGCCTCAGGGGATGAAGATATGCTCAGTTCTGATGTGACTTGATGGGCTGAGAAGGGTTGATAGTGAGGGAGGGGGCTCCTCTTTCCTGGGGGGAGGAGGAAGAAGGGGGAGAGGGGACCAGGAGGAAGGGGGTACCTTGGGATATAAAGTAAATAAACTTAAATTTGTAAAACAGTTGCAGGTCAGAGTATTTAGGGCTGAAGTAACAGAGTATCTCCTTAGCTAAAAAGGGGTGTGTGTGTGCTTGTGTGTGTGTCTGTGTAGGGGACAAGGCACAGTATTGTGGCACATGACTACAATCCCAAGACTTAGGGGATTGAGGCAGTAGTACCATAACTTGAGGGCCAGCCTGGACTATATAGCAAAACTGTCCCAAAAAAAACCGAAGGGGGGGAAAAAAAGATCTGGGGAGATGGCTCACTTGCATTGCAGTCATGAGGACCCGACTTTGATCTCCAGAGCCCATATTTAAAAAAAAAAAAAGCCAGGTGTAAAATAAAACTCCAGTGCATGTGACCTCAGCACTGAGTAGGTGGCCTGTCCTTAGGAAAAAAACACTGCCTCAAAAACAGAAAAACTAACAAGTGGACGACTCCTGAGAACTGCTACCCAGCGTTTTCGTCCTCCTCCACTCTTTCGCACTTGTGGATGCTGGTGCACATGCAGAGAGCGTGGCCAGCTGGTGTGCAAGATTGCTAAGAGGCCCTGGGTGCAGAACTGTGTCCTGTGTTCAGTTTGCAGCTCTCCGCCCATCCACATGAAGGTGCAGCCCCTGAACCAGACCGCGCTGCAGGTGTCCTGGAGCCAGCCGGAAACCATCTACCACCCGCCCATCATGAACTACATGATCTCCTACAGCTGGACCAAGAACGAGGATGAAAAGGAGAAGACATTCACTAAGGACAGTGACAAGGACTTGGTAAGGCCCTTCTGGATTGAGTCCAGGGCACACTGCTCTCACGGGACCCAGCGAGCATATCTCCTCCTAAAGGGAGGTAGGTGGGCATGACATGAGGGTCCCTAGAAGCTGGCAGGCCAGTTAGCCTGCTGTGCACTGCAGTGAACAGACTGTGTCTCAAGTGAGATGGAAGGCAAGGCCCACATGTGATACTGTCCACTTATCTCCACATACACACTGTGACATATGGACCCTCATACTCACACACACACACTCACACATATCCCCCCAACACACACACACACACACACACACACACACACACACACACACACACA